CTACTCCCTCCACAACATTTTTGCCCACTTTTGCATTGAAATCCTTAACCACAATTACTCTCACACGTGGTTCAAAACTCCCCACGCATTCACTCAACATTTCCCAAAATCGCTCTCTCCTCTACACTTCTCTCTTCTCCAGTTGCATATACGCTTACTATAACCCACTTTTCACATCCAACCCTTATTTTACTCCACATAATTCTTGAATTAATACATTTATAGTCCCTCTTTTCCTGCCATAACTTATCCTTCAACATTATTGCTACTCCTTCTTTAGCTCTAACTCTATTTGAAACCCCTGACCTAATCCCATTTATTCCTCTCCACTGAAACTCTCCCACCCCCTTTAGCTTTGTTTCACTTAAAGCCAGGACATCCAGCTTCTTCTTATTCATAACATCCATATCCGTGCACATTCAGACTCCCCACTTTGACAATTTTCTTATTATTATTCTTTTTAGTAATTATTACAAGAAAAGGGGTTACTAGCCCATTGTTCCCAGCATTTTAGTTGACTTTTACAACACGCATGGCTTACGGAGGAAAGATTCTTATTTCACTTCCCCATGGATAGAAGCACATACGTATAAAGATACACAACATATCCCTCCAAACTGCTAATATCCCAAAACCACTCTAAAGAAGGGGTTTCGGGATATTAGCAGTTTGGAGGGATATGTTGTGTATCTTTATACGTATATGCTTCTAAGCTGTTGTATTCTGAGCACCTCTGCACAAACAATGATTATGTTTGAGTGAGGTGAAAGTGTTGAATGATGATGAAAGTATTTTCTTTTTGGGGATTTTCTTAATTAAAAAAAAAAAAAAAACAGGAAAAATGTACGGTAGAGTTATTATTGAAAGAATTAGAGGTAAGACAAAATGTAGGATTGCAGATGAGCAAGGAAGTTTCAGAGTGGGTAGGGGATGTGTAGATCAAGTGTTTAGATTGAAGAATATGTGTGAACAGTTTTTAGATAAAGTAGGGAAGTTTTCATTGCATTTTGCATTTATGGATTTAGAAAAGGCATATGACAGAGTGGATAGGAGAACAATGTGGCAGATGTTACAAGTACAGTGGTCCCTCGCTTTTCGTAGTTCTCGGCAATCATAGATTTCGGAAATCATAGGGGTATTTTCGTATAAACATGGGCTCGCTTTTCATAGGTTGACTCGAGAGTCGTAGTTCCTCCGGGACGCGTACCCACGGCGTGAGCCGGGGCGGCAGCCAGTCTGGCATTGTTTACCAGTGAGTGAAGGTCCCCTCACGTGCTCCAGCGAAATATTTCATAAAATTCCATTTATTTTAGTGCTTGCAAGTACTAAATAAGCTACCATGGCTCCAAAGAAAGCTCCTAGTGCCAAGCCTGTGGTAAAGAAGGTGAGAATTATGATTGAATTTAAGAAAAACATCATTGAACAATAAGAAAGTGGTACAAGTGCAGCTGAACTGGCCAGGATGAATAAGAAACCCTACACAACCATATGTTCCATAGTGGCCAAGAAAAAGCAAATCAAGGATGCTGTTGTTGCAAAGGGGGTAACTATGCTGACAAAAATGAGATCACCAGTACTCGAAGAGGTTGAGAAGTTATTACTGGTGTGGATAAATGAGAAACAATTAGCAGAAGATACTCTTATGACTTCGATTATTTGTGAAAAGGCTAGGCAGTTGCACAACGATCTGGTAAAGAAATTGCCTGAAAATAGTGGTGATGAGAGTGAATTTAAGGCCAGCAAAGGTTGGTTTGAGAGATTTAAGAACCATACTGGCATACACAGTGTGGTAAGGCATGGTGAGGCTGCCAGTTCGGATCACAAGGCGGGTGAATTTTTCTTTTTTTTTTTCAACAAGTCGGCCGTCTCCCACCGAGGCAGGGTGACCCAAAAAAGAAAGAAAATCCCCAAAAAGAAAATACTTTCATCATCATTCAACACTTTCACCACACTCACACATTATCACTGCTTTTGCAGAGGTGCTCAGAATACAACAGTTTAGAAGCATATATGTGCATGAATTCCAGGAGTACATAGAGGCTGAAGGACTGAAACCTGAACAAGTGCTCAATTGTGATGAAACAGGCCTCTTTCGGAAGAAAATGCCAAAGAGGACCTTCATTATACAGGAAGAAAAGGCAATGCCACGACACAAGCCTATGAAAGACAGGCTGACGCTAATGTTCTGTGTTAATGCTAGTGGGGATTTCAAAGTGAAGCCAATACTAGTGTACCATTCTGAAAATCCCAGAGTGTTCAGGAAAAACAATGTTATGAAGAGTAAATTGTGTGTGTTTTGGAAATCTAATAGTAAGGCATGGGTCACGAGGGAAATTTTCGTCGAGTGATTCAATGAAGTGTTTGGCCCTAGTGTGAAGAATTACCTCCTGGAAAAGAAATTGGATCTCAAGTGCCTGCTAGTAATGGACAATGCACCTGCTCATCCTCCAAACTTGGATGACCTAATTTTCGAGGAGTTTGGGTTCATCACAATAAAGTTCTTGCCCCCAAATACCACTCCTCTCTTCCAGTCCATGGACCAGCAGGTCATTGCAAGCTTTAAAAAACTCTATACCAAAGCAATGTTTCACAGGTGTTTGACTGTGACCACAGACACTCACTTGACCCTAAGGGAATTTTGGAGAGACCACTTCAGCATCCTCCATTGCATAACCCTTATAGGTATGGCTTGGGAGGGAGTGACTACTCTGCCTGGAGAAAATTGTGGCCAGATTGTGTCGACAAGAGGGATTTTGAAGGCTTTGGGACTGACCCTGATGAGCCTATGTCTGTTGTAAAATCAATTGTGGCACTGGGGAGTTCCATGGGGTTGGATGTGAGTTAGGAGGATGTGGAAGAATTGGTGGAAGACCACAACGAAGAGCTCACCACTGAGGAGCTGCAAGAGCTTCAGCAGGAACAGCAACAGATCGCAGCTCAGAATCTTGCTGCAGAGGAGGAGGAAGAGAGATGGAAGATGGTGCCTTATTCAGAAATTAAAGAGATTTTTGCTATGTGGGGTAAGATGGAAAGCTTTATGGAGAAACATCACCCTGACAAGGTTGTTGCAAGCCATGTTGGCAACATGTACAGTGACAAAGTCTTGGCCCATTTTAGGGAAGTTTTAAAGAGACGCCAGAAACAGAGCTCTCTAGACAGTTATTTTGCGAGACAGGACTCCAGTGACTCTCAAGCTGGTCCTAGTGGCATTAAGAAACAGAGAAGAGAAGCAACCCCAGAAAAGCAATTGGTACCTGAGGTGTTGCTGGAAAGGGATTCCCCTTTCAAACTATAAACAATCCACTCTCTCTCCTCCTCCAGTCTCCCATACACTAAGAAGCATCTCCAATAAAGGTAAGTGTTATGCTGTTAATGTTTCATTCATCATTTCCCATTGTATTGTTTATGTACTACATATATATTTCATGTAAAAAATTTTTTTGTTTTAATACTTCTGGGTGTCAGGAACAGATTAATTGTATTTACATTATTTCTTATGGGGAAAATTGATTCGCAAATCGTAGATTTCGTTAATAGTAGCAGCTCCAGGAACGGATTAACTACGAAAAACGAGGGACCACTGTATATGGAATAGGTGGTAAGTTATTAAATGCTGTAAAGAGTTTTTATGAGGATAGTGAGGCTCAGGTTAGGGTGTGTAGGAGAGAGGGAGACTACTTCCAGGTAAAAGTAGGTCTTAGACAGGGATGTGTAATGTCACCATGGTTGTTTAATATATTTATAGATGAGGTAGTAAAAGAAGTAAATGCTAGGGTGTTGGGGAGAGGGGTGGGATTAAATTATGGGGAATCAAATACAAAATGGGAGTTGACACAGTTACTTTTTGCTGACGATACTGTGCCTATGGGAGATTCTAGAAAAGTTGCAAAGGTTAGTGGATGAGTTTAGAGGGTGTGTAAAGGTAGAAAGTTGAATGTGAACATAGTTAAGAGTAAGGTGATGAAGGTATCAAATAATTTAGATAAAGAAAAATTGGATATCACATTGGAGGAGTAGTATGGAAAAATTGAATGTTTTCAGTTATTGGGAGTTGACGTGTCAGCGGAAGAGTTTATGAAGGATGAGATTAACCACAGAACTGATGAAGGAAAAAAGGTGAGCGGTGCGTTGAGGTGTCTCTGGACACAAAAAAACGTTATTCATGGAGGCAAAGAAGGGAATGTATGAAAGTATAGTGGTACCAACACTCTTATATGGGTGTGAAGCTTGGGTTGCAATGCTGCACCAAGGAGGCGGCTGGAGGCAGTGGAGATGTCCTGTCTAAGGGAAATGTGTGGTGTAAATATTATGCAGAGAATTTGGAGTGTGGAAATTAGGAGATGTGGAGTTACTAAAAGTATTAGTCAGAGGGCTGAAGAGGGGTTGTTGAGGTGGTTTGGTCAATTAGAGAGAATGGATCAAAGCAGAATGACATGGAGAGTGTATAACTCTGTAGGGGAAGGAAGGCGGGGTAGGGGTCGTCCTCGTAAAGGGTGGAGGAAGGGGATAAAGGAGGTTTTGTGGGCGAGGGGCTTGAACTTCTAGCAAGTGTGCATGAGCATGTTAGATAGGAGTGAATGGAGACAGATGGTTTTTGGGACCTGACGAGCTGTTGGAGTGTTAGCAGGGTAATATTTAGTGAAGGGATTCAGGGAAACCGGTTATTCTTATATAGCCAGACTATAGTACGTACTGGAAATGGGAAGTACAATGCTCACACTTTAAAGGAGGGGTTTGGGATATTGGCAATTTGGAGGGATATGTTATATATCTTTATATATGCTTCTAAACTGTTGTATCTGGACACCTCTGCAATGGCAGTGATTATGTGTGAGTGAGATGGTAGTGTTGAATGATGATGAAACTATTTTCTCTTTGGGGATTTTCTTTCTTTTTAGGTCACCCTGCCTTGGTGGGAGACGGCTGACTTGTTGAGAAAAAAAAATGGATAGCTCAGCAAGAAACAACTCTTGGAGAATAGTAATAAGAAAAATAATTACCTTTTGAAGAGATCTTGCAATTCTAGTTGCCATTAGATCAACAGACACTGGGGTGCGATCTGTTAGTGTTTGTAAAGCCTCTCTAAGTCCCATCTCAGGAAAATGTGGAAGGAGATGACGGTGTCTGATGCCCGCTAAATGATCTAAGGTATGCATGGAGGCTGGTAAGTCTCCTCTGCATATAGGTTCCTCTAGCAGGGTGCCCACTGGAGGACTTGCAACAAGGTACTCAGATATACTGTAAAGAAATTAGAAGGGTAATAAAAAATTTTGAGTGACAGAGGCTCGTGTCCACCTGTTAGATAAGAATGAATGGAAACAAGCGATTTTTTTTTTTTTGGCTTGACATGCAGTTGGAATGTGAGTAATTTAACTTTTAATATGGATTCACAGAAACTCATTACACGACTCTGGGTCCTGAACGTGGGAAATAGAGTGCCTGCACTCTCAAGAAGGGATGGGAGTGGTGCAGGTCAGGTCATTGGAATTGTTATATCTGTGCACTTCTGCCAAAACATTATTAAATGAATGATGGTGAATGTGTTTCCTTTCTTTTTGTGTGTGTGTGGAGGGGATGGGGGGGGGGGTCACCCAACATGGAGGGAGATGGCCAGTATGTTTAAATGCAGCAACATAAAACTATGTTTTGATCACTGAAAGACACCTTTCTGTGTCACAAGCCTAGGAATATACCACATCTATTTCCCACCTATTACTGTACTTTTTTTTTTTCAACAAACCGGCCGCATCCCACCAAGGCAGGGCAATCCAAAAAGAAAAACCAAAGTTTCTCTTTTCAAATTTAGTAACTTATACAGGAGAAGGGGCTACTAGCCCCCTGCTCCTGGCATTTTAGTCACCTCTTACAACATGCATAGTTTACGGAGGAAGAATTCTGTTCCACTTCCCCATGGAGATAAGAGGAAATAAACAAGAACAAGAATTAGTAAGAAAATAGAAGAAAACCCAGAGGGGTGTGTATATATATGCTTGTACATGTATATATGTAGTGTGACCTAAGCGTAAGTAGAAGTAGCAAGACGTACCTGAAACCTTGAGACAGAAAAATGGACACCAGCAATCCTACCATTATGTAAAACAATTACAGGCTTTCATTTTACGCTCACTTGGCAGGAGAGTACTATCTCCCTGGGCGGTTGCTGGCTACCAACCTACTAGCTACATTACTGTACAGTGGACCCTCGGTTATCGGCCAGTTTGGTTATCGGCCAACTCGGTTATCGGTCGGTTTATCAGCGCCCGGTTATTGGCCGTTTGCTCGGTTATCGGCCATTTGGGACACATCCATCTGCCGGCTGGGGCTGCTTGCGCATCAGTTTGGCTTTGTCTCTCAGTGGCTGAGGAAGCTTCTGCTTATACATCCAAACATTTTGCTTATTTCCCATTGTAGTTTGTGTTATTTTTGCAGTGTAACTGTGAAATTAAGGAACCATGCTCCAAAGAAAGTTCCTGTGGCAAAGAAAGTGAGAAACACCATGGAATTTAAACATGAAGTGATACAAAAGTTTGAAAGTGGTATGAAGGTGGTGGAACTTGCCAGAATGTACAGCAAGAATAAATCAACAATTACATCCATCATGGCAAAGAAAGAACAAATCAAAGATGCTAATGTTGCAAAAGGAGTAACTTGTCTAACTAAACAAAGGCCACCAATAATGGAAGAGATGGAAAAGTTATTATTATTGTGGATTAAGGAAAAAGAATTAGTGGGAGACAGCGTTATAGAGTCCAGCCCATGGACCAGCAGGTCATTTCTAACTTCAAAAAACTCTACACAAAAGCAGTGTTTCAAAAGTGCTTTGAAGTGACATCAGACACTCAGTTGACCCTAAGACAGTTTTGGAGGAATCACTTCACTATCCTCAACTGCATAAGCCTTATAGGTAAGGCTTGGGAGGGAGTGACTTCTAGGACTTTGAACTCTACTTGGAGAAAACTGTGGCTAGATTGTTTCCAAAAAAGAGATTTCGAAGGGTTTGAGGCTGACCCTGACACTGCCGACCCTGTGGACTCTATTGTGGCACTGGGGAAGTCCCTGGGGTTGGAAGTGAGTGGCAAGGATGTGGAAGAGTTGGTGGAGGGCCACAGAGAAGAGCTAACCACTGAAGAGCTGCAAGAGCTTCATCTCAAACAGCAACAGACTGCAGCTGAGGAACTTGCTTCAGAGGAGGAAGAGGGAGTGAAGGAGGTGCCTTCTTCAGAGATTAAAGAGGTGTGTGCAATGTGCAATAGGGTACAAGCTTTTGTAGAGAAACACCACCCTGACAAAGCTGAAACAAGCATATCTGCAACATGTTTAGTGACAAAATCCTGTCCCACTTCAGGGAAATCTTAAACAGTCACCAGAAACAGATTGCGCTGGACAGTTATTTTGTGAGACAGGGGTCCGGTGACTCTCAAGCTGGTCCTAGTGGCATTAAAAGACAGAGAAGGGAAGTAACCCCAGAGAAGGCTTTGCTACCTAAAGTCTTTATGGAGGGGGATTCCCCTTCCAAACACTAACTCCTCCCTCTTTCCTCCTCCCTATCTTCCAGAAGCCAGCATTAGCCTTCAATAAGCGTATGTAATACTTACATAATTGTTAAAAAAATTATTTTTTTTTGTGAATATTTTTCTTTGGAACGGATTAATTGTATTTCCATTAATTCTTATGGGAAATATTAATTTGGTTTTCGGCCATTTCGGTTATCAGCCGACCTTCTGGAATGGATTATGGCCGATAATTGGGGGTCCACTGTACTTACAATTTCTAATCCCAATACAGTCTTAAACGCCACTGAGACAAATTCAACCTTCTTCACCTATACTAATACATTATTGTTTACAGTAAGTATTGTTGTGGTGCGAAGGCATTAACCGTTTCAGGGTCCACAGGCCCTCTCAGAGACTTGTTCTCAGGGCCCCTCAAATTTCAAAAAAAAAAAAAAAAAAAAAAAAAAAAAAAAAAAAAAAAAAAAAAAAAAAATTCTTATGAAAAGATAGAATCTTTTCCCGATCATAATGACACCAAAAATATGAAATTTGATGGAAAAGTTATGGAATTATGCTCTTGCGAAGTTAGCAGTCTCGACAATGTTTACACATCGGCGATTTTGCCCACTTTGAGCCCTATTTTCGGAAAATTCCAATGTACTAGTCGACAAAAATCATAACTATTTCACTAGAACTCCATTTTTTCTATCAAATGAGTACAAGAAACCACCAATTTACCGATTTCAACTATCCAATACAGTGGTCAGAATTTAGTAATTTTGTGATGCAGTTCAGATGGGCTTGTGAGGTCTCTAGGGAGACCTAATTATATGGTCACACCTGCCTTAGCAAATGTCGGGTAGTCACGCCCACGTCTGAGGTCTTTTGTTCTTGACGGCGTCAGACCTCGGCATCAGGTCGTAACACGTGGTACATACCCCATTGGGGAGGGGGTACTTTGACTACGATATAAGCCCAGGGAACAGCTGAGCAAGGAGGCTGTTGGTGACAGGTCCGGGGAGCGAGAGCTCTGGACAGCTGCATGTGTAGTGGACCACGCATTGGGAATCTCGGGTCAGCTGGTCGGTGAATTAAGAGTGAGTACTAGTTCATGTTACTGATAACATCTACCTTTCCCCCTGGTAATAAGTCTCATAGGTCAATTGTTATATTATGTAAATGTCCATCAGTATATGTGGTATTCTAGCCCTTTTATGTTATTAAGTAAACTATAGCCATAGTTCCCATTTTTTTTATTTTGTACCTCCATATGCTATTCCCTATTCTGTTAAGCACTGGGATACACAGGAGACGTGCTCACTCGCTGGGATACCTCAGGTAGAGTGGGTAGAGGTCTCACAATTTTGCCAATTTCAAACAAATTTCAAAAGATGCCAATTTCCAAATAGGGTCCAAAATAAACATGAAAGACATTCCTGGCACTAAAATAACATTTCCTCTGTTCATTAGTCACGTCCCCAGGCCCCTCTTACATTTTTTTGCTTTCCACTTTGAATTTTTATTCTCACAAAAAAAATAAGATTTACTGTTATGCAGACTACTGCATTAGTGTAGAAATGGTATAAATAATATCGCCGCTCTTGTGAAAAAATATTAGACTCACCAGTTGACGTGTATTGGACGCTTAGCATGATTTGTTTACTTTTGAACTTTGGTAAAAATTGGGCATGTCTGCTACTTTGAGCTCAATTTCAAGGTACTTTTCATTGTAAAATCAGTCAAAATCATCTCAATTTCTGTAATACAGTGGACCCCCGGTATTCGATGGCATCGGTATTCGATAAATCCGGTATTCGATGCATTTTAATGCAAAAATTTTGCCTCGGCATCCGATTGAAAACCCGGTATTCGATACGATTCGTACGAGACGTGTCCACGTGTGGCCTGAACTGTCCCTTGTGTGCCAGTGTTTACAAGCCAGCCAGTGTGCGCGCATCTAAGGATACATTCTGTAGATTCCATATTATCACTGTTTTTGGTGCTTGTTTCTGCAAAATAAGTCACCATGGGCCCCAAGAAAGCTTCTAGTGCCAACCCTGTGGTAAAAAAAAAAAGGGTGAGAATTAGTATGGAAATTAAGAAAGATTTTGAAGGGTTTGGGGCTAACCCTGAGAAGCCTATGCCAGTTGTGGAATCCATTGTGCCTACTTCAAAAATTAAGGAAATGTGTGCACAGTGGGTTGAAGTGCAAACCTTTATGGATGAAAATCACCCTAACGCAGCTATTGCAAGCCGTGCTGGTGACTATTACAATGACAATGTTGTGGCCCATTTTAGACAAATCGTAAAGGAACGGGAGGTACAGAGCTCTATGGACAGATTTGTTGTGAGACAGAGGTCCAGTGACTCTGAAGCTGGTCCTAGTGGCATTAAAAGAAGAAGGGAAGTAACCCCGGAAAAGGACTTGCTACCTCAAGTCCTAATGGAAGGGGATTCCCCTTCTAAACACTAACACCATCCACACTCTCCCCTCCTCCCATCCCATCAATCATCACCAGATCTTCAATAAAGGTAAGTGTCATGTAACTGTGCATGTCTTCTTCAGTTTGTGTTCATTAAAATTAATATTTCATGTGGTAAAAATTTTTTTTTTTCATACTTTTGGGTGTCTTGCACGGATTAATTTGATTTCCATTATTTCTTATGGGGAAAATTGATTCGTTTTTCGATATTTTCGGTATTCGATGAGCTCTCAGGAACGGATTAATATCGAATACCGGAGGTCCACTGTATGTCTTCCATTCTATACAATGAGACCAGGAAAACTAGAATACAACAATAAATACCATACGAAAATATAGTGCAAAGTCTCTGTTTTAATCTAAAAACACGGTAAAAGTTTTTTTTTTCTCATTTTGCACTGTGTGCTGCAGGATTTTTTTTATACTGTGCACACTGACCACATAGACCCATTCTTTCATATGTAGCCCTACCAGCTCTCTCTCACTAGATTTGAAGGCGCTAGAATTTATGCGTACTAGTACGTCATGGACACTGGTGCGTAAGCCGTACTAGTACGTCCAAAATCATGAAAGAGTTAACTGTGGTATGAGAACATGCCCAGCTCTAGTTGTCATCCAGAATGCTACAGCTGTAGACAGAAGGTGGAGTTGGGCCACTACCCAGACCAGACATAGAAAGGCACCCTTCAGCAATCAAATTCATCTGTCTAATGTAAGGCTCTGGGATACCACTGGAATACCACAACCAATACTCAGAAACAGAAGCAGCAGCAGTTGAGCAGAGGAAGAATATATGTGTACATTTTCAATATACCTAGGTAGTAGGTTGGTAGACAGAACCACCCAGGGAGGTACTACCATTCTGCCAAGTGAGTGTAAAACAAAAGCCTGTAATTGTTTTACATGAAGGTAGGATTGCTGGTGTCCATTTTTCTGTCTCATGAACATGCTAGGTTTCAGGTATGTCTTGCTACTTCTACTTACACTTAGGTCACACTACACATACATGTACAAGCATATATATACACACCCCTCTGGGTTTTCTTCTATTTACTTTCTAGTTCTTGTTCTTGTTTATTTCCTCTTATCTCCGTGGGGAAGTGGAACAGAATTCTTCCTCCGTAAGCTATGCGTGTTGTAAGAGGTGACTAAAATGCCAGGAGCAAGGGGCTAGTAACCCCTTCTCCTGTATAAATTGCTAAATTTAAAAAGAGAAGCTTTCGTTTTTCTTTTTGGGCCACCCTGCCTTGGTGGAGAAACGGCTGGTTAAAGAAAAAAAAATCAATATACCCAGGTATTAGGTTGGTAGACAGCAACCGCCCAGGGAGGTACTAACGTCCTACCAAGTGAGTGTAAACCGGAAGCCTGTAATTGTTTTACACGATGGTAGAATTGCTGGTGTCTTTTTTGTCTGTCTCATACACATGCAAGATTTCAGGTACGTCTTGCTACTTCAACTTACACTTAGGTCACACTACACATACATGTACAAGCATATATATACATACACCTCTCTGGGTTTTCTTCTATTTTCTTTCTAGTTCATGTTATTGTTTATTTCCTCTTACCTCCATGGGGAAGTGGAACAGAATTCCTCCTCTGTAAGCTATGCGTATTGTAAGAGGCGACTAAAATGCCAGGAGCAAGGGGCTAGTAACCCCTTCTCCTGTATAAATTACTAAATTTAAAAAGAGAAGCTTTCGTTTTTCTTTTTGGGCCACCCTGCCTTGGTGGGATACGGCCAGTTTGTTTAAAAAAAAAAAAAAATCAATATACCCAGGTAGTAGGTTGGTAGACAGCAACTGCCCAGGGAGGTACTACCATCCTGCCAAGTGAGTGTAAAACGAAAGCCTGTAACTGTTTTACATTGCTGGTGTCTTTTTTCTGTCTCATAAACATGCAAGATTTTAGGTATGTCTTGCTACTTCTATTTACATTGAGGTCACAGTACACATGCATGTACAAGCATATATATACAGACCCTTCTGGGTTTTCTTCTATTTTTCTTACTAGTTCTTGTTTTTTTTTTTTTTTCAACAAGTCGGCCGTCTCCCACCGAGGCAGGGCGACCCAAAAAAGAAAGAAAATCCCCAAAAAGAAAATACTTTCATCATCATTCAACACTTTCACCACACTCACACATTATCACTGCTTTTGCAGAGGTGCTCAGAATACAACAGCTTAGAAGCATATACGTATAAAGATACACAACATATCCCTCCAAACTGCCATGGGGAACTGGAACAGAATTCTTCCTCCGTACGCCATGTTTGTCATAAGAGCAAACTAAAATGCCAGTAGCAAGGGGCTAATAACTCCTTCTCCTGTATATATTACTAAATGTAAAAGGAGAAATTTTTGTTTTTCTTTTTGGGCCACCCCGCCTCGGTGGGATACAGCCGGTGTGTTGAAAGAAGAAAGATTTTCAATATATGTGTATAGCATTTTCAAAATACAGGAATCAGAATAGTGTGTGTGACAAGTGATTTATTCAGACACTTAAAAGAGAATCTCTATTTGGCCCCTGGCAAAGGCAGCATCAAAGTGCAATTAGCAAGAGTAATTGCATGATGTCAGAAGACCCTGCCACTGCATGTATACACAAACACCACAAGAAGTGACAGCAGGTGACAGCTGGATGTATATCCAGATCTTAGAGTGGACACCTAATGATCTCTCGATCTAACTGGGTGATGAGATATTTCAGACTGTTAATCCATTAGCAATTTGAAAGAAACCAGGATTAATCTGAATTGAATTACTATTTAATTTTTAAAATGTCAAAGTGGCCATTCCTTAAAAAATGGTGCTAAAACTAATCAGAAGAAAATGATCCAAGCATCTATTCATACTAACTAATGGTTCTGAAGAGTAGCTGGCTGCTAGATATTGATGACTGAATGTTTGGCTAAGAAAATAAAACAGCAGTTCAAGCAAATGAATTTAAAATATCATTATGATCTGAAAATGTAGAAAAAGGACCTTGATGTTCATATGAAAAAGTAAATAAGCTTTGAAATCAAACTCTCATTCATTAATAAAACCAAACCAAACAGACAAAATCTCACTCTATATTTTTTGCTGAAACAGACAGCCAAGTAGATGTGAAATGCTTGACGTCGCTCAGTTTATTAGCACGATCACAAACATGAGGTGGTGGAGGCGGGGAGGCCACTCTCTCTCTCACCCGTAGCAAGACATCTGGTAACGGATCGTCCTCTATGACAGGAGTATCCAGATTTTTGGAACTCTCGGCATCACTAGTAGTGTAGGTTGCTGTCGAGTCTTCAGTACCGAGGCCAATGCGGACGTGAATTTGCTTATTAGGTAATCCTGTCTGCAAATAAAAAACAGATAACGAATATCAACTGAAAAATTATTTTTCTGTGAGTCATTCCTAAAGTCAAAGCTCAGTTAAGACACTGAGTAAAAAACTTTGTTTAGATAAATTTTCAATTAAACAATGCCGAAGAACTGTAATCTCATAATTTAGGACTGCAAAAGATGCCTTTATGTTGAATCAATATATTAGGTACCTTTGCTTCTGGTCCCTGGGGATCAACAATATCTTTCTGGTTTTCTTTGGTTAACTCTGGTTGTAGTGCTGGAGAAGTATCCTCTTCCTCTAGCTCCTCCTCAGCTTCACTTTCTAGATCTAACCTCATCTCCTCTTCCACATCACCTGCTAATTCAAAATATACATCTGGACTTCTGTTTCTTATTTATATATTCAGCACAGTACCCATATGTTGAGACAGTAACATTAAACAGTCGTTCAATTAGACTCCAAATCAAGCTTGGAAAGTCTTATTATTAAGGAACTGTAAGTTCCTTAACTGGCTACTAATATAAAGGATGTAACACTACTTTTCAGCACAAGTGTGTAGAATGTGCTCAATGTGAGCTTTATCAAGTTAACAATTTTATAAAGCTTGCATTGAGCAAAACATCCTTACATAAAATTATATACATGTCTTTGATTTACTACAGACTGACTGACTGCCAGTGGCATGCAGAGGGAGGGGCTGAACATAAGAAACATAAGAAAGAAGGAACACTGCAATAGGCCTAATGACCCATGTGGAGCAGGTCAATTCCCCTCCCTCCCCCCCTGGATTAGCCCAGTGACCCACCCAGTCTGGTCACCTCCACTCAAGGAAGGAGCATGGCACCAGACCCAGCAGCACAAGCTAGTCAGGTCCAACTCAAACCCACCCACACCCACTCATGTATTTATCTAACCTATTTTTAAAACTACACAACATTTTAGCCTGAATAGCTGTACTAGGGAGTTTGTTCCACTCATCCACAACTCTATTACCAAACCAGTGCTTTCCTATATCCTTCCTGAATCGGAATTTTTCCAACTTAAAACCACTGCTGCGAGTCCTGTGTTGGCTGGAAATTTTCAGCACGCTATTTATGTCCCCTTTATTTATTCCTGTTTTCCATTTATACACCTTGATCATATCCCTCCTAATTCTACACCTTTCGAGAGAGTGCAGATTCAGGGCCCTCAGTCTATCCTCATAGGGAAGATTTCTGATACATGGGATCATCTTTGTCATCCTCCTCTGTACGTTTTCCAGAGCATTTATATCCATTCTGTAATACGGTGACCAGAACTGAGCTGCATAGTCTAAATGAGGCCTAACCAAGGATATATAGAGTTGAAGAACAACCTCAGGACTTACATTATTTATACTTCTAGATATGAAGCCAAGAATTCTGTTAGCTTTATTGTGAACGCTAATGCACTGTTGTCTTGGTTTTAGATTACTGCTAACCAGAACTCCTAAATCCTTTTTGCAATCAGTAGTATTAAGATCTACATTATTTAGTTTATATGTCGCATGGTTATTTAACTGTCCAACATTTAGAACTTTGCATTTGTCTATATTAAACTGCATCTGCCACTTCTCTGACCATTGCATCAGTCTATTCAAATCATCCTGGAGTGCTCTAGTGTCCTCATTAGAATGAATTGGACGGCCTATTTTGGTGTCATCATCAGATTTGCTTATGTCGCTATTTATTCCCTCATCTTTTTCGTTTATGTAAATTGTGAACAACAACGGGCCCAACACTGACCCCTGAGGAACACCACTGGTGACGTGGCCCCATTCTAATTTCTCCCCATTTATGCAAACTCTCTGCTGCCTATTTGTCAGCCATGCCTCTACCCAGGAAAAAAATTCTCCTCCTATTCCGTGTGCCTTAAGTTTCCTCAATTGTCTCTGATGTGGGCATCCAAATGGGGGTAAGGGGGAGGACCATCCAATTAGAGAGGGAAATAAGATAGTGATTCCCCCTAATCTTAACCCTTTGACTGTCGCCAGCCCCTTTCTGAAATGATAGAGAATCTTTTCCCGATGGTATTGACATCAAATGTATGAAATTTCGTTGAAAACTCGCGGAATTATGCTCCTGCGAATTTAGCGGTCTCGGCGACATACATGCATCGGCGATTTCGTCGACTTTGAGCCCTGTTTTAGGCCAATTCCGTTGCTCCAGTTGACCAAACTCATAGTTATTTCTTTAGAACTTCATTTTTTCTATCAACTGAGTACAAGAAACCGCCCATTTACCGATTTGAACTACCCAATAAAGTGGTCAGAAATTGGCAATTTGGCCAATTTCATGCAAATTAAAAAAGATGCCAATTTCAAAATAGGGTCCAGAATAAACAATGTAGACATTCTTGGCACTAAAATAACATATCCTCTGTTCATTAGTCACGTCTCTAGGCTCCTCTTATATTACTATTGCTTTCTATTTTGATTGTTTATTCATACAAAAAATACGAAATATACTGTTATGCAGACTAATGCATTATTGTAAAAATGGTATAAATAATATCAGTACACTAGTGAAAGAATATTAGATGTGTGGTGTGATTTGATTAATCTTGAACATTGGTAAAAATTGAACATTTCCGCTACTTTGAGCTCAATTTCAAGGTCGTTTTCATCATGAAACTAATCAAAATCATCTCTATTTCTGCAATATGTTTTTAATTTTATCACATGACACCATAAAAACGAGAATATAACGATAAATACTATACAAAAATACACCTCAAAGTCGGCGTATTAATAAAAAAAAAAGTTCAGTTTTTTTTTCTCATTATGCACTGCGTGCTGCAGGATTTTTTTCTGTGGTGCACACTGACCACACAGACCCATTCTCTCACATGTGGGCCTACCAGCTTTCTCCTGCTTGATTTGAAGCCGCTAGAATTATTGAGTATACAGTGGACCCCCGGTTCGCGATGCTATCGGTATCCGATAAATTAAGTAACTGATGCATTATATCGCAGAGAATTTGCCTCGGTTCCCGTTACAAAACCTGGTATGCGATACGATTCGTACGAGACATGTCCAGTGTTTACAAGCCAGCCAGTGTGCGCGCATCTAAGGATACATTCGGTACATTCTATATTATCCATATTATCACTGTTTTTGGTGCTTGTTTCTGCAAAATAAGTCACCATGGGCCCCAAGAAAACTTCTAGTGCCAACCCATCGAGACCAAGGGTGCTAATGACTACTGAAATTAAGGAAATGTGTGACAAAGTGACTTGAAGTGCAAACCTTTTTTGATGAAAATCACCCTGACACAGCTACTGCAAGCCGTGTTGGCAACCTGTACACTGACAATGTTGTGAACCACTTTAGGAAAGTCATAAAGGAACGAGAGGTACAGGCCTCTATGGACAGATATGTTGTGCAACAGAAGTCTAGTGACTCTCAAGCTGGTGCTAGTGGCATTAAAAGAAGAAGGGAAGTAACCCCGGAAAAGGACTTGCTACCTCAAGTCCTAATGGAGGGGGATTCCCTTTCTAAACATTAAAAACGTCGACACTCTCCCCTCCTCCCATCCCATCAATCATCACCAGATTTTCATTAAAGGTAAGTGTCAATTATTTTATTGTGATTATTCTATTGTTATTATTGTTACTGTAATTATTATATTGCATTAAACTTAATATATCATGAGGTATAAGTTTTTTTTTCATACTTTTGGGTGTCTTGCACGGATTAATTTGATTTCCATTATTTCTTATGGGGAATATTGATTCGCTTTCTGATAATTCTGGTTTACGATGAGCTCTCAGGAACGGATTAATATCGTGAACCGGGGGTCCACTGTACATATATCCGAAACACTGGCTCGTAAAACATGTATATATATGACCAAAACAGTCAAAGGATTAAAGATGTTCTGGAGTCTTTACTGCAGTATGGGAGGGATGTCTTTCTGACACTGTGTGTTTCATACAGATTACTGCTTACAATCGCACTTTCAGTCACAAGTTGTGAAAGGTCATTTTCAAAAGTGAAATTAATAAAAGCATATCTGAGGTCTTCAATGTCACAGGAGCAACTGACCAACCTGGCTTTAATAAGCATTGAATAAGAATTTCTCACAGCTGATGTAAAAAGTGAAGTAGTTCATCTGTTATCTGACATAAGGTATCATTTGGAGAAAAGAACTTAATAAATTTGGTCGATTTATTTGTAAATTGAATAAAGTGTTTATTTCATGTTTCATCTGTGTTTACATATTCAAAATATCTCCCTTTCTCATAATGTATCTCAGTACTCAGCCTTATACATGTATTTGAGTCTTTGGGGCATACACTCAAGCAGTTGGCCAGACCTCTGCATGCCACTGCTGACTGCCTATCTTTTTCACAAGTGTGTTAATCAAACTGTATCCCTCAATTTATTAAAAAGTACCCATAGCTTCCATGGCATGGGAAGGCACCTGTGTGAAAACTGCATAAAAGAAGTGAAGGTAAAAAAAAAAAAAAAAAGATTTCAAAGATATTCAATGTGACCAGTAAGACTGTAATAATACCTTCCACACTCAGATACACTGAAATACTACAGTATATCAGCAATGTCTTTAATTAGGTAACTGCTAGCATGACAAGGAAATTATTATCTTTAGCTTTACTCTTCTATCAATATTTTGGGCAGTACAATTATTTCTAAGCTCCCAAGAAACCTCATACTATTTCTGGAAATGATAAGAATGTTTGCCGAAAGTTAGGAATTACTTCCAAGCTTAAAAGAAATTCTTTTCTTTTCAGTTACTTCAGTTCTACATATATCAAGTGCCCTTATCTAGAGTACTCTTAGACCAAAGTTATATGTAACATCTCTTGAACCTTAAAGCAGGAGCATTTGAAATTTTTCTCATCAGAAACCAAGATAAGATATTACAACCTCTCCTCACTTAACAACAGAGTTCCGTTCCTAAGACTACGTTGGTAAACAAATTTGTCGCTGAGTGAGGAGCATACAATAATGATAGTGGGTTTGTGTCAATTATCTTTGATATTGTTTTAATGTCACCTTCGCACCATTTATAGCATTTCTGGTACATTAAAAGAGAGAGAGAGAGAGAGGAGAGAGAGAGAGAGAGAGAGAGAGAGATAGAGAGAGATATAGAGAGAGATATAGAGAGAGATATAGAGAGAGATATAGAGAGAGATATAGAGAGAGATATAGAGAGAGATATAGAGAGAGATATAGAGATATAGAGATATAGAGAGAGATATAGAGAGAGATATAGAGAGAGATATTATAGATATATATATATATTTTAATATAATATATATATATATATATATATTATATATATATATATATATATATATAATATATATAGAGA